CCCCAAGCGGGCTAGGAAACTGTGACCTCACTTACTCTCCAGCACCTAAAGCTGTGCCTGGCACATGGCAAGCATGCAAGAAATACATGCAAGCCCTGGGCAAAAGCCTAGGTTCTCAAAGACAAGACTAAAGGGGGTAACTTACTGCCAGCCCTTGTGCCCCAACAAGAGCACACATTCACACTCACACATGCACACACACTCACACCCGTGCACATTCTCGCACTCATGTGCATATGTACACATGCTTACACGTGTGTGCATATGGCCCACACATGCATTTGCATACCCATGCACACTCACAAATACACACGCCAATGTGTCACATGTGCCAGGTGGTGAGAAGTCTTTAGCATATAACATACAAAGCTAACTCACTGTAACAGCCTGGCAGTTGCTGCTGTGGGTTCCCAGTGTTCACTTTTTCAGCAACATGCTTAGGTTTACAGCCCTCAAATCAGTGGGCCCACAGGATCTGACAAACACACCAGGAGGCCTGCCCAGCAAAAACCACTCCACCTCCCCAGCCCGGTCTGGTGTGGAACAGTCACCATCCCTGGTGATTATCCCCATGATGGGGGTGATGGTGTACCCCACCTAGACCCTTCCAGCAGTGGTGATAGCAACTGACCTGTTGATAAACTCTTCGTAGCAGGAGTAGATGGCGGCCAGACACACGGCCACCAGGTTGGGCAGGACCCGGGGGTGGGGGCAATGCCCCGTGGGGCCGTGCATGCTGGAAAAGAGCAGAGGCAGGGTGAGAAGGCTGCAAGAGAGGGGCCCACGCACGGGGCACGGAGGAGTGGGATGCCGGGGTGCTGCTCAGGCACGAGGCTGCCCTTTCTGCCAGCACAGCTCAGGTGGGCTTTAGCAGCATTTGCTGTGCTGTTGATGATACTGGGATTTTGGTCTCAGCTGTGCCACAGGCAGGCAGCAGAGAGCAAAGCCCCAGGCCAGGGTTCACATCCAGCTAGGTGGCCCTGGCAAGCTACTCGAACCCTCCACCTTCAGTCTCCTTAGCTGTAAAACAAGGACAGAAGCCCCCTCCTCAATGGGCTACAGTGAGGAACGCATTTTCTAATTCATGGAAAGACTCAGCATACGGTGGCCATCTATCCTGGAATAATCATGTTTACACCTTGTGGTTCCAGGATAAAAATTATTCATAACACCTCATTTTACTCTCAAAAGTGTCCTGCTTTGGAACAATAATTATTA